CCAGCAAAATAGGCAGTCAGGCTCTGAAGCGGAGTGGCGTGGGCTGGCTGCAGCCCTTGTGTCCAGGGGCTTTGTACCCTGTGTGTGGCCTTTGTGTTCCCCAGTTGGTGGTGCTCCGGCTTAGGGCCCTGCTGTTGGCTGCATGCCCGGAGGGGTTCCCCGGCGTTGGGCTGGGTGCGGTTGATGTGGTCTCTTGCAGGGCGGCTGTGAGTTGGTCCAGTCTCCCTCTTGCAGCCTCGTCTTCCACATCTGTAAAGTAGTTCAAGTGAACGAGGCTGCTCGGCTGGACCTTATCTGCAGGCTGAGGCCCCCTTCTGGGAGGCCCAATTTCGTTCGACCTTCCATGCCCTGTGTGTGCCTCCAGAACCTTGTCTCATTATTGTTCCATTATTTCAGAAGTCTTTTAGCCAAAGGGATGAGTGATCCCTTCATGATGAGGGAAGAGTGGCCGGTGCTGGGTGGGACTGCTGAGATTCTGCCAGCTCTGCGGTCCTCAGAGGAGGTCACCACCTTGTGGCCCCTGGTGGGGGTGGGTAGTGGAGGAGCCTGGAGTCCTAGAGGGGAAAATCCACATGGCCACGTGTGGCTCCTGTGCTCACAGGTGGGGTGGGAGGTGACCAAGAATAAGCAGCCCAGGAGTCACCTGTGACCTTTCCACATCCATTCCCCAGCCTCTATCTACACCTGCTCCTGTTGGGCACTGGGCAGGGCTCTGGACACAGGCTGGCTAGATCCCCATGAGAGATTTCCGGGAAAGAAGAAAAGTTTCTGTGGAATCCCCTGTGTCAAGAGCAGATCCCAGGGCACACAGTCAAGTCCCTGGAAATGTCTGAATGGGTAACATATGAGTAGATGAATGAATACATCTTCTGACCCTGGGGCGGGTGAGGGCACTCGGATACGTTCATTTGCAGATGGGAAAAAAATAATCATCTCGCTGGACTTGAGTTGTCACACAGGTGCTGGGGAAATAGATTTGTACCTCATTCTCTTGGGAAGAGCTTCGAGGCCCTCTTCTGTGTCACGTGTCCAGCATAGATGCATTTTCTATGTTCTTTACTGTATCTTCTACATACAATCTGTAGACATGGTGTGTGCTTCCTAAAACATGTATACAGTCTGCAGCGTATACATAGGTTGGCACCTACATAGCCTTGTTTTGTGTGTTCTACAGGCACACTTCATAGACAATATTTGCTGGTGAATATGGGTATGCTGTAGTTATATGCGCCTCTCGGTTTATCTGTATATAGTGTGCTACTGTTGTGCAGTGATTCTCTACATTAGGTTTCAAGTGTACACCGTGTGTACTCCATGTGAAGTCTTCATCGGTGCCGTTTGTGAGTTCCATACAGGCATCGTGAACATCCAGCTTGTGGACTTAATATTTGCAGACCTGTTTGCACACAGCACCACCTGCGGCTTTCTATCGTAAGCTGACTCGGGGAACATATGGTATGACAGCACTCTCACACCCAATAATAAATGGGGTATTTATTATTGAACGTGGAGGCAGGGTTGGAGGGAAGCAATGAGAGCTGTGCGGTACCCCAGAACCTACGTGGAGAGCTATTAACAAACCAAAGGTGCTGTTACTGGAACTTGTAGAGAGTAGCTGCTGTGGGCCTGCTGGCAGTTGCAGCTAATTGCCATAGTCCTGCTCTTCTTCCCTTCCTCTGATCTACTGGGGCTGTCCATTGGATGGACCCGACTGGAAACCAGAGGGCAAAGGGGCACTTGATGTAGCTCCCAGGGTAGAGAGCAGGGTGCGGCTGGGAACAGCTAAATAGGACAGTTGAGGATACCCCGCACAGCCGCCTTTTTCCTGGAAGGCCTTGGGAGTTCTGAAACTTGTCTCTCACTTGAGAGGGACTGGGCCTGTTCCCTGGACTCCTGGGCCCCCAGGAAATGTATTCATGTGGAAGATCCTCGAACCTCAGTGCCGTTCATCTCCCATCCTTCCTCATGCGCGTGTCTTACTAAGGGATGGCATCAATGCAGTGGACCAGTGAGAAACACTGATCAAGTTCCTTCCATTCTGTAGTAAGATAGCAGGAGCACTGACATAAGCCAGGCACAGTACCAGCGTAGCTGCTGTCCAAGTCCTGTGAGGGCAAACTGCTGCTTACTTTTACTAGCAGGAACAGAAGTGGGGATGGGGGACTCTGGGACCTGGCATGCAGTTTTTGACCCAGAAAATGCTGTGTTGACCTCCTCCAGTAAACATATCATATCCGGAACATTACCACTTATTAAGTTTTCAACAACCTCCTGTTCTCCAACATTCCAGCTGGTTTTTTTTTTTTTTTTTTTTTTTTTTTTTTTTTTTTTTTGTTATCAGCTCTACCGATGAGCTATATGGAGATATAGTAGGATTCCCACCCCTGCATCTTTTATATTTACCCTTTTTGTCTGCCAAGATGTGCCGCCTTCTTTCCTGAAGACCTAAGTTTCCATCTGGTGTCCTTTTCCCCAGACTGGGCAGCCTTTAGTAATCTTGTTGTGTGGATCTGCTGTTAATGAACTTGTCTTTCTTTCGACTTTGTTCTTGAAGGATAATTTCTCTGCATATAGAATTCTGAGTGAGCAGTGTGAGTCCTTTACAGCTGTGCTTCCACTGTTTCTTGGCCTCTGTTGCTTATGTTTAGAAGTGAGCAATATTATGTTGTTGTTCCCCTGGATGTGCTTTCTTGCTTTTCTCTGGCTGCTTTCATGATTTTCTCTTTGACGTTCAGGAGCTTAACTCTGGCATGTGGGTTTCTTTGTATTTGTTCTGCTTGGGGTTCACTGAGCTTCTTGAATCTATAAATTTGTGTCTTTCATCACATTTGGCTTTTTTTTTTTTTGAGCTGTCACCCAGGTTGGAGTACAGTGGTGCAATCATGGCTCACTGCAACCTCCACCTCCTGGGTTCAAGTGATCCTCCTGCCTCAGCCTCCCAAGTAGCTGGAGTAAAGCCCTGCACCTGGCTAAGTTTTGTATTTTAGTAGAAATGGGGTTTCACCATGTTGGCCAGGCTGGTCTAAAACTCCTGGCCTCAAGTGAACCACCTGTCCCAGCCTCCCATAGTACTAGGATTGAAGGTGTGAGCCACTGCACCTGGTCTAAATTAGCTACATTTGGCCATTTCTTCTTCTTTTTCCTGTCTCATTCTTTTCTTCTGGGATACCTTTTAATATTGCCCTACAGATCCTCTGAGGATTTCAATTTTCAATCTTTATTCTTCTCTGCTCTTCAGATTAGATAATTTCAATTGATACATTTATTTATTTATTTATTTTTTTAAAAAGCTTTTCCGTTTCCTCTCCCTGTCCTTCCTGGCCTAACTTTGTCACTTCCTCTCTTCTTTCATAAGGACTAAGTGGTTTCAGAGGGGTGTCAGAGCTCAACGCTAGCTGGGATTGAGGGCCAGAGAGGAGGGGGAGAAGGTCTTCTGGAGGCGAACATGTGATGTCCAGTGAGAGTTTGGCCCATGGTGGGTAGGTAGGTCATGGCACATATTCATACTACCAGAGATGGGCAGACAACTACAGGCCATGAAGCCCTGATGGAGAAATGTGAGCTAGAGCAGGCAGAGACAGCTTTCTGCCGGAGGGAGTGGTAGAGGATCCTATGAATCAGGCTCTGGGCTAGGAGCTGTCTGATCCCAGCTGATCCATATAATGCCACCACCTGAGAACAATTATCCCATGTCACAGATGAAGAAACATGGGTTGGAAAAAGTTGATGGGATGGAAGGTAAAGCAGCAAGCTGACTCAGTGACCATGAACATGTGACATGGTCACGTCAGGGAAGTCTATCTTGCTGGGGCAGGATTTTAGATGTCAGAAGACCAGGTACAGCCTTGAAAATTTCAGTCCAAACATTGTCCATGATCCAGGTTTTTTTCTGGGCCATATTAACCCCCCAGTTTGAACCTACCGAGTCTCTTGTTCCTTCTGCCATAGTGAGGAAGATCCCATCCTGGCTCTGACACTGTCCCTGACCAGCTGGGTGACCCTATAACTGACTTCACCTATTCAACAGCATCGCCATCATTTTGAGAGTGAGGAAATAAAGGCTTGACTTGGGTTCCCTGCATCAACCACGTGACAAAGTGGTGTGCTGTGAAGTTGCATCAGGAGTTTCAAAAGTACTTACACACATAAGGTCTTTACGGACTGTTTCCTCATTTCTGTCAAGGCTCCGTTCATATAGTAATACAAATTTTTTCATTCCTTTTTATTAAAGAAATATTTTACTTTCTAGGTATGGGGGAATACAGCAGTGAACAAAACATTAAAAAAAAATGCCTTCGTGGCATTTACATCTCACTCCACAATTGCCTCTTTTGATTCAGAGTCTCTGCTTTTGAGCCTCACTCTTGGCAGCTGAAAGCTCTGGGCTGAAATCCCAACTCTGAAGACATCAAGCTACCCTGCTATTAAGTAACTTAGGTTTCTTGTCAGTGGGGTTGGAATCATTATGGTTGTTTAGAGGCTAGAATGGGGTGATGTGTGTAAGAGGATTCAGCACTGTGTCTGGCACATGGCAGGTATCATTCTTCCTGTCAATCCATAGTGGACGGAGAGGTTTGTCTCTGAGGCTTGGTGTTTTGGGAGTTCTCTTAGTAGTGAATCTGCTTTTTTCTTTTTAAAGCCTGTATGTCACTGTAAGATGGCATTGGAATGACCCTCAGTCCCCTCTTAGTGGTGTATCACAAGTGATGTTGGTTCTTGTTTTTCTCTTCCCTTCCATCCCAGGTTATAGCACATCCCAAATCCCGTCGCTACTGAGATGCTCCTACCCCACTGCCATCCCCCATCCTCATGTGACTTCTAAGAAACGGGTTCTCCTAGAAACAGGTTCTCCTCTACCCCGCAGAGGAAATCCCCTGATTCCATCCCAATTGAAATGCAGCAGGTCCCCTACAATTGCACTCCCTCAAGTCTACCCCCCTCCCCGCAACCTGCAGACCCCTCCTCACTAACTCCCTGTTCTTCTCATCCTTTCCCTGCAGGTTATGGGCACGCCGCACCTGGCACCGACGCAGGCAAGGCCTTCTGCATGTTCTACGCCGTGCTGGGCATCCCGCTGACGCTGGTCATGTTCCAGAGCCTGGGCGAGCGCATGAACACCTTCGTGCGTTACCTGCTGAAGCGTATCAAGAAGTGCTGTGGCATGCGCAACACCGACGTGTCCATGGAGAACATGGTGACTGTGGGCTTCTTCTCCTGCATGGGGACGCTGTGCATTGGGGCGGCCGCCTTCTCCCAGTGTGAGGAGTGGAGCTTCTTCCACGCCTACTACTATTGCTTCATCACGTTGACTACCATTGGGTTCGGGGACTACGTGGCCCTGCAGACCAAGGGCGCCCTGCAGAAGAAGCCGCTCTACGTGGCCTTTAGCTTTATGTATATCCTGGTGGGGCTGACGGTCATCGGGGCCTTCCTCAACCTGGTCGTCCTCAGGTTCTTGACCATGAACACTGAGGATGAGCGGCGGGATGCTGAGGAGAGGGCGTCCCTGGCAGGAAACCGAAACAGCATGGTCATTCACATCCCCGAGGAGCCGCGGCCCAGCCGGCCCAGGTACAAGGCGGACGTCGGGGACCTGCAGTCTGTGTGCTCCTGCACCTGCTACCGCTCGCAGGACTATGGCGGCCGCTCGGCGGCTCCGCAGAACTCCTTCAGCGCCAAGCTTGCCCCCCACTACTTCCACTCCATCTCTTACAAGATCGAGGAGATCTCACCAAGCACATTAAAAAACAGCCTCTTCCCATCTCCTATTAGCTCCATCTCTCCTGGGTTACACAGCTTTACCGACCACCAGAGGCTGATGAGACGCCGGAAGTCTGTTTAGGTGTGGGGAGGGAAATGGAACAGAAAAGTCATTTGTCATAGTTGATGTTAATTTCCATTGGTCCAACTCGTCTTTTCTTATTTATTTATTATTCTTTATTATTATTGTCATCATTATTACTTTCTCTCCTTCCTCTTTTCTTGGTCTCTGGGTCTCATTTGCCCCCACCTTTCCAGCCAGACAGAGCAGGCCAAAGGGAAATACAGGCCCATCCTCCTCTGAAACTCGCATCTGAGCATGAAGCATGGATCTCCTCCTTCCTTCCCAGCAGACTATGCCTTACATTTCTCACCCCACCCGCCCCATCTCTGCAGTGGTTTTCCCGGGACAGAGGTGAGACCAAGACCACGGAGACAGAACTGAGAGGAAACCCACCCCAAAGCTGCACACCATGCTCAGAGCCTTCAATCGCCCACCTTAGTGGTGTCTCTGACCTAACTCCTTTCTCTTTTCCTAAGGACTGAGTGGCTGTGTGTGCGTGTGTCGTGTGTGTGCTTCTGTGTGCACGTGTGTTGTGACAACACGGGAAGTATTAGGTATTCCTTTTTCTTTCCCATCACACATCATAGCCTGCTTTTGGCTGCTTCCAAACAAAACAAGGAAAAAAAACCCCCAAGGGTTTTGATTTATCGTCTCTTGCCAAATCAAGCATGTTTCATAAGCAGTCTTTACCCCTGATGTGTCATGGTTCTACTTTCTAAATGCTAGGTTCTCAATTATATTAATGTTTTTTAGGGGGCGGGTGGGCAGGAAGACCTGGATCATTTTAGCTTGCCAGTTCAAACATTTTTAAAAAGCATGCACTTGTTAAACTGGTATGCGCTATCCACAAGAAAACCAGAAGTGGAATCATCAAAAGCCCATCATAGTAATTTGTAAGAGACATCTTTGGTTTTGTCACCTCCAGTTCCAACAATTTACCGTGCAACTGGAATTGTCAGGGGACACAGGAAAATTGTTGGGACCACAGAGTACCTATTTTATTTCCCTCTTATTGACGATTTTGAGCAGCACCTTCCTGCGTGAGTAAGAATTATCGTGTTGGAATGCTTGGGCGAGAATGGGTATTAGTATGTGGCTGTGGTTCCTTTTCCTAATGAGAAGTGACAGGGCATTCCTCATTAAAAATACATATCTATTTCAAGAAATATTGTCTCTAATAATTGCATTTGATTTGTAAATAGGGGAAAGTTCACACTGGTCTCAGGAAGAGTTTAGAGGCAAGGAGCTATGTCTTGGCCTACTGGGAACTTGCCAATCTCAGGGGACAATTTTGTCTGAGTAGTGTAGAAATTCCTCCCTGCTCTCAATAGGGTATGAGCCCAAAGGGAAGCCCTGCTATCCTCCTCCTGGTGGGGGGAGGGGTAGTTCAGGCCGTAGAATATGGCACATTGGAGACTCTTACAGTAGCAGGAGTAAAGGACAGTTTGACCTCCAGATTCACTGAGGGGACTTTAATTTCCCTCATTACCATCCCTGCCATTTTCTAAAAATCACCCATTCATCCATCCTCCCATTCCTCTTTTGTAAACTGGAAGTTCATGGCTCTTGCATGGAAATGGACATTGGCTGTTCTCGGAAGGAACACGGTTACCGGCCTGTCTCAAGGCCCCAACGAGATCTCCCAGAAAGGAGGCTTTGCTCCCTAGAAAGAGTAGACCTACAGGATTTCTTAAAGGAGACAACACCTGAATGCCACCAGTCCCAAGCATTTGGGCCAATGGGCTGAAACAGGAGCATTCAAGACTCCTCTGAAAAGGCTGTGCATGTACTTTTACGCTACATCCCATGTTGAAATTTCCCCTTCGTCCAGGACACAGGGCCTTCGAAGGAGTCTGCGAACCTCAGATTCTCTAGGCCAAAGTTGACAGTTCTCAACCTTCAAGGTCTTTATCGATTCACTTGTTTTAAGATTTTGTGTTATGGGATGCCCTACTTGGGGCTCTAAAGTCTGTCCAGAGAATAGCAGTTCTTTTCAAATTTTTTTTCTCTTGGATGAGATGGTCGATTCTATGGGGTCAGAGGTGGAACAGCCCTAATGCATTTGCAGAGTGCTTTATGCTTCGGAAGAGTGTGCCTGGAATAAACGGGGGGCTCTCATGAAAACCTTTGTAAGATGTGCCTTCAAATGGGTGGGGGAGGATGATCTATCGTGATGCCAAGGCACTGAGAGGGTGAGTGATTTGCTCAGTGTCACGGAGCCGGTTGTTGACAGAGCTGAGACAGGTGTCTCAGTCTGGAGCCCAGGAGAGTCCAAGGAGCTGATTTCACACCACCATGTCCTAACTTACTTGGCCCTCAGAGGAGGGCGCCTGCCTCTGTTTCCCCACTGGGGACATGCAGCAGGCCCTTGGAGCCAATTAAAGGGACACCGACTCCACCCTGCACATAGAGCTGGTTTCCCCCACTAAAATGTCTGTCACGTTGGTCCTACAATAGCCATATTTCTGCTTGAATGCCTCAAGAGACAAGGAGCTCTTCTCTTTCCAGGGAACTATAGAAAACATTTTCTATAGGATTAAGGATGATAGGATGAAGTCTTTTCTCCTCACCTTATAAGTATCAGAGCCAAAATAAGTTGCAAGTTGCCTCAATTTCCCTATGTCTTCTCTTTTCTACCAGTTCAGCCCTTTGAAGGATGACCACTGAGTCTTCTCTTTCCGAGTTAAACATCCTTGTTAATGCTCAAAGTGTTTAGGGGACGGCAGACCTTGGTCTGCTTGCTTGGTGATGTTCATCTTTTGCTGAGATGGTTCGTCTCTTCCCTACTCTGGTCTCTGGCCAAGGAGTGACATATCTAGGCACATCATGAAATGGTCTCAGGGTGGAGGGCAGGGGCCAAGTTAAGGGTTCAGGGTTTTTTTCTTCTCTTGGAGAAACAGAAGTTGGGCATCTCTGTTTTGTGCTCTACCATTCGATCAGCATTAGAATTAGATCCTCAAAGTCTTGAGGAAGCTTTGTCCAAGTCATCTCACTGAAGAGCCTTTATTTTCAGAGGATGACATTGAGGTGCAGAGAAGGTGAACACCCATCTAAAGGTCTCAGAGGTAGAATCTAGATCTTCCCACTGATTTCTTTACCATTTTCCTGGTACTTCTGTTGCTGTTTATAGCCTTCAGAAGATCTCTTGTTGCTGGATGATTTTAGTTTTCAGCAGCCCCACGTCTCTCTTCCTCCCTCTTACACCTAGTGATGTCTTTCATCCAAGTGATTTTCATTCCCTTCTCCCAGTTAACCGTACCCATTCAGCAAGGAGTATGAACTCACAGCAGGCTGTTTGGACATAGGGTTCAACTTCTGTTAGAATGAGCTCGGGAAGAGCCACGTCCTACCAGAATCACCGAAGCTCAGCCCACCAGCCAGTACCTAGAAACCAGCATGCATTGTAGGTATTTCAAAATATTACTCTCACTTGAACTCTTTTCAACTAAGAGCTCTCAGTCTTCATCTTTCCACCTCAAATAGAGGAGGAAGGTGGACAGTGGTACTGAAGATCCCTAGAACCCCTAGGCACACACTTTCTAGAGACCATCCTGCTATAATCTTCATTGCACCCATCCTGGGTGGAAAGTGCTGTGTTGGCTGTCAGCATGTCAGACTCTTATGTAGGAATGAACCAGCCCCTCTGGGTTTTGAGATACTTGGTTATCACTACAGCTGGCATCAGATCTATTCTTTCCACCTGCCCTGCTTCATCTTGGAAACCCCACAGCAGCCCCTTAACCACAGAGAGCTGCCTGGCTCTAAGTGTGAACCCTCTTGGAAGCATCTGTGTGCTCCCACTGTGTGTGGCCAATTGGGAGGGGAGTGCCTGCATTCAGGCACGGCCACAGCAGCTCATTTGCAGCCCAGGATTCCCAGTGGGTCCATCATCCTTCCAGGAGAGGTAGCAAATGGACCTTGACCACTGCCCACAAAAGCCTCCTTGGGAGGTGCTCATTAAAACCCCACCCATCAAAAGGATGGAGATTAATCTCAGCTCACCTGTTCCTTATCTGTGCACAGGGCCTTGATTAAGAGCATCTGGACAGTATGAGAAGCTCGCAGATAAGCCTAGGCAGGTCGCTTTTCTCTGCCTCATCCCTATCTGGAAGCTGATGGGTCCTGATTCTCAGTGACAATCACTTGCAGCTGGAAGCTGGAGGGAAGAACAGGGTTTCTCAGAGGCCTCCCTTGTCTGTGCACATTGGCCGGGAGAGGGAGGTGAGCAAGGAGAAAATGACCACAAAAAAAAAAAGAAAAAGAAAAAAAAATCGGAGGCTTATGGCTCCATTTCTTTTTGTAATATTCTTTTTAAAATGACAGGCCCCAAGATACCCTTTGAAACCTCTGCAGAGGTGCATGCCCTCATCCTATTAGTGTGCTGGCCCTGGCATCAGTGAAGCACTCTGGCAAGCCGTGGCTTTGTTCTGAAAGTGGTGTGACTTGGGGTCTGTCCCATGCAGGCCATGCTGCCTGGGGGTGTAAAGTGGGTTTCCTCCAGAGTCGTGGCCTGCACCGGACCCTGGAAGCATCCTCAGTGAGGACAGGGTGACAGGCAGGGGACCTGTCATTGTGCTTTGCTTCACTGAGCTCCTGGAAGTCATTTCACTCCCTGGGCCTCTGAGGCTTCCCCATCAACACAATGAGACAGCTTGGGTGAGATTTATGGGCACTTAGCACAAAACCAATTTGACCCACAAAAGCATTTGGCCTGGGTGTTTTGACCCCTGGGCACACTTGAAGCTTGAGCCGCCCAGAAGAAAGCCAAAAATCACTTGGTTTGGCAGGGGATGGGGATCTGAGAAGATGAAGAGGGACAGGCAATGGCAGAGTGTGCCATGGTTGTCATAAACCAAGGCCAAATGCATTCCAGGGTCCCCAAAGCGCTGAGCATAAATCCATTTGATGTGGTTTTTTTTTTTCCCTTGACCACACCTGATAGAGGCTGCTGATTCAGGAAAACAGAAACCCTATTACCACGGTCCTATGACACTGACCTTCTATGTTGAAAATCCCAGAATTACAGAGTGAAGAATAGTCTGATGAGCTTCTCTAGACCTCTCGCCTAGATGCCCCCCGGCCTCAGTGCTTTGCCACCCTCGCTCCCCCAACTCTCACTCAGATGTTTGGACAATGTGTTAGCATGCCTGCAGCTTTTCAGTGGTTCAGCCAAAGAAGAAATTGCCATGAACAAGAGCACTCTCCCAATGGTGCCATTGTCACACCTAAGAAACGTAGCATTCATACAATATTATTGCCTGATACAATCTGTATGTAAAACCCCAGTTTTCCCAAAAATGTCCTCCAGAGCTTATTGAGTCTGAAACACAATCCAAGATCACGTCCCACATTGCTTGTCCTGTTGTTCCAGACCTCCCCCGAATGGGACGTCCCCATCACCATTTCTGTCTTCACCATGTTGGCCTTCTTGAGGAGTCCTGGCCAAGGTCTTGTAGAATGCCCCACGATCTGCTATGTTCGTTTCCCACTGGTTAAGACACTTTGGCAAGACAACTGAGTTGATAGCCAGCAGCCGTGATTTATGCATTTGATGTTTGGCTCTCTGGGGACCTCTGTGGTTACTGCTTGCATTGTGGGTAAATAAGTCGTATTAAATGTTGTTTTCCTCTGTTAGGGGAACTAACTGCACATTCAAGAGAGGCGTCCGTGGATGCTGGGTCTCACTGCCAAAGCCGAACATGGCTTCGAGATTTCTGCCTTCTCACGTGGACCTCTGCTGTGCTGGTTGAATGCCACTATTTGTTCCCCTAAACACCCGTGGGGATGGTCCAGCTACTCATAGACAGGAAGCCCAGAGAAATGCTTGATGTGAGGGTCCCCGCAAGCCAGTTGGGCTGTTTTGGCACCTGCCCCCCCTCCCCACCCGTAGCTCCTCAGTGAGGGGTAGAGACTGCCAAGCCCTTCCACTCATTCATCATCATAAAAATGTAACTTGCTATGGCAGCCTCCTGGCCATTAAGGGCTATACTTTGTGACCTCTGTCCTTGAGATCTTTGCTCTGACAAGTTCTGTAGCCTTCTCAGTGCTGCTGTCGTGATGCAGTCTCCCTGCTGTGGCTAAGTAACCTTTCGTTTTGATCGAGATTTGTCCATGCAGACTCCCACCTCTGCACCTTTCCGTGCCAGTCCCTCGACCTGGGAGGCCTCCCTGTTGCTCTCCAGCTTCGAGGTGGAGACGGAGCATCTCACACCTCCTTTTGCTGTCTCGTGACCCTTTTGCTCCCTGATGGACTTGACGATGTCCTCTGCTGGGGTCTCCCAGTTCTTGTTTTGGTCGTGAGCGACCATACCCAGGGAGCAAAACTTCTGTGGCCCTGGCTACAGGAACAGCAAGCAATGGGCAGTGCCCCAGAGGGAAGGACCATCTTGAGAATAAAGGCACTGAGATGTGTGGCCTCTTGCCCAAATGGCCACTCATCACCGTGACTGAGGCATGTCTTAACTTGCTGAAGTGGAAACAGGGTAACTCAGTGCACGCCTCTGCTCCATCCCTGGAAATGGATCCAGATCTACGGGAAGAAAACTGGACCTCATAGCGTCGGCGATTCAACAGCACCTGCCTGGCCGGGTGGCATGTGCTCCATACAACAGGGCTGGAAGCTGCCACACCAGGCATCTCTCATAATGCGGGTGACACAGATGGCGCCAGGCTCCAGGAGCACCATTGCGATGTGTCACCCTGAAGAAGTTGGGCCCTGTGATGGGAACGGCATCAGCAAACAGTCTGCACTGTTTTCTTGCGGCAACATCTCTGGTAGAGGCTGCGAGGGAATGGGGACATGCATCGTGAGTGACTCAGGATCCCCAGCCTCTCTGGTCTGGCACCTGCCCACCCCTAGAGCCCTGGGCCTTGAGAGAGGCAAGCGCACGCTCTTCTCACCTCCAGAGAGCAGCGTGGGGGTGTGGATGCTGCTCAGGCCCTGGCATCTCGCACGCCTGGGACCAGCTTCTGCCATACACAGGTGGGTGGTGGTTTTGCCTCTCTGAGCTTCAGTTTCCCCACCTTTAAATTGGAGATTGTACATAGCCCCTACTGCAAAGGGTGCCTGTGAAGACCAGATGTGAGGTGATGGCATTTAACGTCACCTGCTGTCTGCCAAGCACCCTGCCTGTGTTCTCATACATGTTTGCATTTCTCATAAAAACAAGGCCCATGTCTCCCAGAGGAAGTTACCCCTGGGGCATTGGACTTGAAATCCAACTTCGGGAAAAAAAAGTGATCAAGTCTGGTTGAGGAGCTCAGCAGGGCTTCATAGAGGAAACGGCTTTTGGAAACCATTGAGGAGAGCTTTAAAGGAGCAAGTGGGTGCTATTTTAGGCACAGGCAAGGCATGGGCCAAGGTGCAAGGGTGCGACAGTGCAGGGGGCACAGATTCCATCCCACCATTGGTGGAATCCTGCCGCACCTGGGAGAGGTGGGATGCCATAAATCTCAAGGCCCTCTGCAAGCTGGCCACATCCAAGTCATTCAAGGTATTCTTCTGCTCAAGAACCTTCCCTGGCTCCTGAGTGCCCATAAAGTTAATGGTAAAGTCCCGCACTCTAACCAACCATAGCCGTAGTCTCAGGCTTTCAGGGAGGCACTATCCAACTAGACATCACTTCTGGGTCCTCCTCCCATAAAATTCCAAAAATAGATCCTGGAGTCTCACCAAACTTGAATTCTATGGCATCCTCTTGTTTGGGCGGGGTTTTGTTTGACAAGTGGCAGACATTAGCTCAAATTTGCACATGGGGATTTTTCTGGGTAAGATCTTGGTCTTTCACTGAAGCATCCTGGGTCTTGTCCCGATGAAATCTTCTGCCAGCCTCACCAAAGACTAGCATATGAAACAAAAGGAAAAGGCTGTATAACATAAGTTCTTAAGCTTACTTGGCATGAGGAACTTGTTTCCTGACTGATTTCATGATCAACAGTGGTCATGGCTCTCCACATCTCTGACCTCCGAGACTGAACCTGGCTAAGGCCTTGTGGGCACTCGCTTCTCTCACCCGTAGGAGATGAGGCCTCTCCGTGGGGTTTGTCCCCCAGCACAGGGTCCTCTGAGGGTGTCAGCAGAAGATCTAGGAGTGCCTACTGTCGTGGTGAGTGCTGGTGACCCCCCAGAGGCAGCAGCTCTTGGTGAGAAGCTTTGGGTGCAAAACTGTCCCCACCAGGACTTAGAAATATGAGCTTGATTTTGAGATGAGGCCTCCGGGTGGTGGAGGCTGAGGGAGGCAGAGGCTGAGGGAGGCAGAGGCTGGGGTGGGGGTCGATGGTGGACAGGAAAGAAGTCTAGGGAACACGGGTGGAATCAAGACTCAGACTTGGTCTTGATTTGCTGTGTGACCTAGGGAAAGTCATTTCACCCCTCTGGACCTGAGTTTTCTAACTTCCACACTAAAGAGTCTGGCCAAGCTCCCAAGGCCCACTCCACCCCGCCCCAGTGTCTGCCATGGATAGGACACCAGTCTGGGGAGGACTGGCTGGGCTGACTTCAGCTGCATCGGAAAATCTTTCCCCAGACACCTTCTGTAGGAGTTGACTCTCAGATGCTTTATTCTTAATGACATATGGATCCTTAATTAACTAACAGCCCCATGCAATCTTTGCTTAATTTCTTGGTAGGCTCTCCTCCCATCCTTACCACATGAGGTACCCTGCTCTAAAGGAAGAAAGCCTTAGCCAACTGATCTGTGAGTCATCAATATCTGCAGAGCAGCCCGCAGGCCTGGCCCCTGGAACTCACCCTTCCTGGTCAAAGAGGGGCATGCCTCTGCCCAGCATTTACCTTCAGGCTCGGCTCGAAGCAGCCGTTCCACCCCTGCCCTGTGCCTTCCTCTGGGTTGTCCTTGCCCCAGGGGTCTCTTTGCTTCCTGGGAGAATATGTCCCCCCCACCCCCTGCTGAAGCCCACTTGGCCCATCAAAGAGCCTTGCCTCAGGTCAGCTCAGCTGGGGCCCAAACCTCAATGGCAGCCTCTTGAACTTACATGTATGGCAGCACCGTGCAAGTGAAGATGCTACTTCCCACTGGCACACTTACTCTTTGTGCTGGGTGGGGGTGGCCAGAGCACTTTCATCCGGCTTATGGGGTAACAGGGCTCAGAACAGTGTCAAAGCTGGAACTCCAAGTCAGGTGTCCTGACCGCACACTTCCAGGCACCTATCCTGAAGCTCACAGGGCAGGGCAGGTCCCTCAGATTGCCATAAGGAAAGGATATAGATAGCCGCCTAGCTCAGGAGGAGGGAGGAGGTATCACCTCCAGGTCAAATCCATACACGGGGGTGAGGGGTGGGCATTTCACAGGGGCAGGCATCAGAGAGGAAGAAGCACCAGAAGATCATGGTCAGCCAGAAGAGCATGTGCTGAGTCTGTTGGTTCCTTCACCCAGTTCAAAAAGCCCAGCCCTGTTCAGCACCACGGACAAATCCATCAGCTAAGAACCACGCTCAGACAAAGTTTTTGGTTGTTATTAATCACTCAGAGCTTTGTGCATGTTTTCTCCACAACAGTGTCCCCCCAGAGGGCAGACCTGAGACCAGCAGTAGTGGGTTTTCTGGCCTGAAGGGTGGGCTAGTGGACCTCAGCTGGGTACAGCGTGCAGTACATTGTGTAGAATGTGGCAGCCCCTGTGCAGGACAGAGGGCTCTGTGCCGGGGGGTGGAAGAGCCTCTGCTGAACCCTTCCACACTGTGGTGTGACCCAGGCTGGGTGCCCCTCCTGGGAGGCAGATCTGAGGAGCCAGAGAAACACAGTGATACTCAAAGCACGTCATCTGGCAAACGTGCCCCATCTGAGCCTTCGTTTCCCCATCTGTGAAGGAAGGATCTGGAAGACAGGACTGTCCTGGAAGGATTGGGGGTGGAAACCCTTGTTCTGCAGATACTGGCGTGAGGAACCATCCACAATACTGGGCAGGAATCTGGCCCCAGGGCATGCCTGGCTTTTGTCTGAAGCTTTGTGTGGGACTCGCAAGTTGGCAGGGAATCTGGAGTCGGTGGGGAGGCGGGGTGGCAGGGCTTGTCCTTGTCACCAGCATCTCCCTCACCGTGGTGACAGTTGGTCCTGGCAGCTAAAGAGTACAATTGGGAAGACAGAAGGGGGAGTCAGTTCCTTGGAGCCATCTTTGCATCTAGAGAGCAGTGCTCGATTTAGAGGAGGGAGGCCTTGTAAGCTTCAGTCATGAGTCTTGGCCTCTGAAAGTCTGAGCTCTTGGCCTTGCCTCTTCTAGCCACCAGGCACTGGGTGATGTAGATGTTGGGGGCCTTTCTAAGCACTCAACCCTGGTTCCCCTCCCTCCTCATTTGTAATAGGACCACTTCGCCTTGAGAAGTCACTTATCCCGCCCCTACAAAAGCTGAAATGGCCAGATGAGATGAGAGGCATGCATTTCCCAGGCAGAGACTGGTAAGGATGAAGTGACATGGTGTGGTCACATACTGGACTCTGACATTTTAGTGGAGGAATTTGGAGAGACAGGGCCCAGTCTTTCCAGCATTGGGCTGGGTTCCTACACAGGGTCCACATCCTCTCCCAGGGACATCACCTGTTTCAGGTAGATAGTTCTATAGACTTCCTCTCCTCTCACTGGAGACTCTCCCCCCACCCACAGAGCCCTTTTAATCCTTCTGATGGATTCTCCCATAAGATGGGGTCTCTTTGATGAAACAGCTCCCAATCCCCAGTAAACCAGATGTCTGGACAGTGGTGTGGGAGGGGGCATGTTCCAGGGAACCAAAGTCCGCATCTACCAGATGACGCCGCTATGAGGTGTCAGCTGCCCCAACCATGGGCCCCGGCAGCTCCCCAGGGCCGCCTTGTGCAACATGGGCTGTCGATTCAGCCATTTCTCCAGCCACTGTTGACTGAGTGAGCTGAGCATGTGCTTGCTGCCTGCTGGCCGCAGTAGGGGCCGCCATGGCCAGCTAGAGCTTCAAGTCCTTGGCTTCATGGGACTAAGATGCCAATGGACCACAGCTTCCTTGACGCATGGAGTCCAGAGGCAGGGCCAAGGAGCAGAAACGGGAACCAGAACAAGCCTCAGCAATGGTTTTACTTTCTCACGTGGAATTTTAGAAGTTGGGTAGAAAAATAAAAATATGATGAAAGGAAAAACACAATTAGTGGGAACCCAGTGAAGTAGAACCCACAATTAACAAGATTTCTCTATAATTTGATAGCTCCTCAGAGGAACACACTCCTGAAAAAGGCTAATTATGTATTTGTTTGTTCAGCCCACAAATAGCATTTTGACAGCCATTTTCGAGGGGTGGGGGGCTGGAAAGGACATTATGAGATCATCTCAGTTCACCCTCTGCTCTATCAGAAAACTCCACTAAATAGACATTGCCCTGGGTTAGGTGAAATTGTTTTCATTGATTCAAATGTAAATAAGGGAACAGATTAGCCCCACTTGGGAGATTTGAGGATATCAGGTATATCCAAAAATGTTGATAAGGAGGTTTGCAGTTAGACAGAGACACAGGATGGAGACATCAAAGATGAGTAGAATTTCAACCACTGAATTGAGGAGAAAAAACTTCTAGTCCATTCCCAGCAGGCCAAGAAATTGCTGATAAACCCTCTTAGATGTACAGTATTTTCGACTTCAGCCAACTGTGTATCCTTGTGCTTTAAAACTTCAAAAAGAAAACTTGTCATTTGTGACTCCAGGCATAGAAGAAATTAAACTTGAATTAGTTCCGAATTCACACCCATCAAAACGACTGGCATATACTCCTGCGGTTCCTCCCGAGGAGGGTGGGTTATAGGGACAGGGGCCTCGTGAATCTATCTGGGGTATGTGTGCGCGTGTGCATTGACTGGATATCTGTGGGTCTTCGGATTTTTGTGTTCCTCCTCCATGCCCCCAGCATTGCTGGGCATTTTTGTGACCGTGCAGTAAGGGGACCTGGATTTGGTTCTTATGAAGATGCTACCGGAGGCCTGCCAGAGCACTCCCTGGGGAGGGAGATGGACGTCAGGAAAGTTCTAGCAGAAATGGCCTTAGTGACCTTGGGACTGTTTGTTCACATTCAGGAAGATGGAATGTTTGGTTCTGGACCCTTAGCAGGGACCCACCTTCCTACCTTGGTGAATGGGGTTTGAACAGGTCCTATTGCGGTCAAGGTGTCAAGGCCTTTGGTGGGAAGCTGTATCAGATCTGGCAAAAATCAGCAGTTCAAACTCATGCAGAGAACCAAATTCAAAAGGAGCCTACTGCTTCTGTTTGTTTTCTTTTGTTCATCTTCTCCGGCCTTCTCTGTCTGTGGAGATGGCACCTTCACAAATGGCCTTAGAATGCTGTTCTGAAGTTCAGCAGAATGAGACAACCATCAAATGAATATCAGAGGTATCTATTTTCACAGCTTACCTGATGAAATATTTAAAAAAGCTAGTCACCAATGTTTACAAGTCCAAGTAGACATCCAGCCCATGTAGAATATGTAACTTACATAAGGGTTCGCATCTTTCTTCTGTAACGAGTGTAGTACGCAGCCCTGTGTATATTTTACAATGTCTTTACAGAAAAATCATTTAATGTGGTGTTGTACAATAATGCGCTTTTCTAATTTTTTCCATTAAACTCTCTGGCACGTTTACAAATGTATCTTGGTCTTTCTTCACTAGGAAAGGTGGGACAAGATCTTTGATGCCACCTCTTTCTGCCTGCAAACCGCATTCTGAAAGCAGAAAGCATGGTGGCCCGCCCTGGCTGTATGCCCTGTTTGCTCTTGCTCTTCCTCTTTGTCGACAGGCCTGCTCAGAGGCCTTTTCCCCTAACCACCTTGGTAAAGTAAGGAATTTGTCTTAAAATACAAAACTATCCTTCTTGAACCTTATGTGCTGACGCAGTTATTTTGTGCAGCTTGAATTGGATCCAGGAACCAGAAAGTAGATGAGCACCATTTCCAGGAGGCAATGAAACCAAACCAGAGCTCAACCTCAACTGAACTGAGACCAGCTTTGTGGATTTTTGTTTTTCTTTCGTGGCCAAGGAATCTGAGTGCAAAAAAGTGAGACAAACCATGCGGCCCTTTTCCACCGGTGTGTATGTGGACAGAAGGGAAAAGCAGACAGTTCACAGGTGCTCAGTGTTCTTTGTATCGAGGCAAAGCTGTTCCCCCAGCTCCATAGGAGATGCCCAAGTGTTGGGGCTCCCGAGTTCCACCTGGAAGGCTCATGAAGACAGGTTTCTGGGGTGTGCCCCCAGTCTGGGTCTAGGATGGGGCCGAGAAGGTGTACTTCCAAGGAACACCGAGGTGATGCTGCAGCTGCTGTTTCAGAGATTCACGGGAGAGGCAGGCCAAGAGCAGACCATGGCCACAGGTCCTGTTCCTGAACCTGGCCACACAGAGCCAGGCTGCTTTTGGCCTGTCTTGGAGGCCATGCCTCTTTTCCCTGATCACCTGCTCAGCTCTGTTTGGCTTTTCCCAGTGCCTACCCAGGGCTCATCCAGGAAACAAGTGGACTTGAGCTCTGGCAAGAAGTATAACTCTTAGTGATTGAGGCTTAATTTACATACAGAAAAAACTTACGCCTAGGTGTTCCATTCTCTGCATTATGACTTGGGGGTCTTAAATTCTCTTAAAATGTAAATAAGGACAGATTGCGTTCTCTGCTCAACCTTTCTGTGGATGTCTGGGATAGAAGACGAGCCCTTCCTACCATCAGCTTTGCTCTTATCTGCCTGCCCAGCCTGTGCGCTCCATGGCATGCTGATGTGCCCACACGGCCCTCACCTGCTCTGCTGTTCCCTATGCCAGCAGCTCTTTTTGACCCCACCTCTTCCCATCCCACAGTGTCTCTGCTCAGATGTGACCTTCTTGGAGGGCACCTCTCCAGCCTGCTTTCACCCCTAGCACTGACCACCATCTGCTGCCACAAAACATTTGACATGTCTGTTGTGTCTCCCCCAGGGGAGCATGAGCCCCACGAGGGCAGAGGGCAGAGATTTTCACCTGCTTCATTCATTCATGGCTCTACCCAGAGCCACATCTGCGGGCAACAGTCCTTCAGCATTCCCTGAATGCTGAAATGATGGGATGAAGTCAGAGTCCGTGCCCTGCAGGGCCTGTGAGCCTCTTGCATCCTTCTTCTTCCTCTGCTCCCTCCTACCCCAAACTTTAGTCTCCCGGCCTGTACTGGCCCTGAGGGAGAACCTCCTGGCTCAGAGATGGATCTAAGGTCCCCAGCACCGTGAGCTCAGAGAGGCCGTGGGACCGTCCAACTCATGAGGCAGGGCCTGTTGCTAAACTGCATCCTGGGGTTCTAGTGGCTCCAAGAATGTGGACTGGGGACCCACAGCAGGGCTGGCTTTTGGTTTATGACCTAAGGCAATTTCTCTTTCTTTTTTCTTTGGAAGGCAGTGTGTGCCTTTGGTGAACCAGGTTAGTGCTTCCTAAGAACTCTGTGCTTTCCGGAATTTTCAAGGGATAATAGGGTTGAGTTGCTTTCCTGTATCTTCTATTATTTTAGCCAAGGCCCACTCAGCTCAGAAGGACACTCAGGACAGGCAGTTTTGAGTCCCTGGCTAATCAGTGCAGGATCCGCAACTTCCTTTTGCTCCCTAATGAGAACGCTGTGCAATCAGAACACCTGAGAGTCTAACCCCACATCAGCACTCTCCTCTCTCCCCGCCACCCTCTGCTGCTGGTCATTCAATCCAGACAAAGGGGCTTATGCCGCTGCCCAAATGAGGACTCGGGGGCAGGCATGAGACTTTAGCGCGTATTCTGGGGGATTTTCATCGCTGTCCTTGCTATTGCCATACACCTGTTAATGGAAATAATGACCACTTAAAATAGAATACTTTTCTGCATGTCTTGGTTTGTTCCTGCATCATGTGGTTAGATTTTCACTAAGTTCTGTGTAGGGTCCCTTTGGAATGATCTGACAAGAACTATAGGAGCACGGCACAGCAGGGATATACAACATACTTGTTGTGAGGTCCCTGAAGAGGACACCTGAGGAAAGAGCCATTATGCTCTAGGGCAACTGAAACCATGGTAACAAAGAGGTCATGATTGGCAGCGGTAGGCTACCATGTAAAGAATGTGAGGTTTCAAAGGTTTTATTCTTCTTTTCTGCAAATGGAATATCCTATCATTAAGAGCCACAATAGGAGATGTTCCAGCTCGCAGGGGCCGACTGTCAACGGAGCTCCTTCCCATGTGAGCACCGCTGTGGTATACTCCAGAATGAGCAGTGGCAGAACTTCTTTGTCTTAGGATTAATGGTTCTCACAAGCAACCCAGAAGGGTGAGCCCTACCATTTACTGTCCCTGTGTTCTTGGTCACTTTACTCATCTGCAAATGGTCAAGTAGACTTTATTAAATAAGACACAGGAGATCACCTGTCCTAAGCAGTTCCTGTCATCGTGTGGCAGGCATTGCAGGCTATGTCTTTTTCCGGTAATAACTCAGAGCATTTCCTAAAATGCTTTCCGTAGTATGCTGGTCCTATAAAGCCCCATCTGCCCCGCCCCCCAAAAATGGAACACACATTGCTGCGTTCTAAGTTCCTTTTGGGCGGATTGACAACCCACACCACAAGACATCTCGCAGCATTTACTATTCTAAAGAAAAAACGGAACTTTGCCAACCTAGGGGTTTCTGAGAAAATCTCACGAACCTGTTTCCTGAGGCCCCCCTCCCCCCTCCCGAACACCAGCGGCATTCATCGCCACCCCCTCCCTGCATGCCTGTGATCAGCAAGGCTGTGCAGCAGCCCCTCCTATCTCTGCACCCTCCAGGCGTGGCAGGGTTGCACTTCCTGGTCCCCTGGATGGGTGCGGTCATGTAATTAGTTCTGGCCAATGAAACACAGGTGAAGCAGCACAGATCACTTCCCGGCTGCAACCTGAACTGTTCCAGACCCTCCAGGACTTTCTTTCCTTCTGTCGCATGGACAGGCAAGTTTCAAGATAGTGGCTGCTAAGCCCAGGTCCTGAAGAGAGGAGGTAAGGTGAGGGCTCCCCAGCTGGTCCATGGTGGATGCACATGGTGAGAAAAAACCTTCAAGCCATTATGATATAGGGATTGTTCAGCCTATTCCGACTACTCCAGGTTTGTTCCTGGGGACACTTCCTCAGGTGGTTGGTGCCTGGTACATCAGGTTCATAGTATCTGGGAAGATGTTGTCAGCAAGTCATTGACTCAAACAAGAAGCGGAGTCTCTTTAAAGAGCCTCATATACAATAAAATCTTACATCAGGAGCAGAGGGGTCTTAATTATCTGGGTTAAATATTGCCCACTCCAGTTTCATCCTTGTCCAGGGACTTAAATGTTTTTTTCCATAGAGCCTTTTCCATTTTAAATGTGACTTTCACTTTCAATTCTTTGTGTTTCCTCCTTAAAACAGGACTGTGCAGGCGGCCCCATCAGAGGATGGTGACAGCTGTCTCCTTCTGTAAGTGAGGAAGCCTCATCCTTCCTTGGATCCTCAGCATCTCTTAACCAGCTGCGGCAGAGGTCGAATTAGAATGGCACCAGCTTTGGATAAAAATCCAGATCTCGTTTTTCAAAACGTGTGTAGAGCTGGTGGCTGTAAGGAACCAATCAAGCCTCAGCTGTGATTCTAATTGGGCCAAGTCCACCTGAGAGCCCAACTCATTCATCCAAAGAGAACATAGTCTGGATGGAGCTCAAGGTGTGTGGCTGGCTGGCATAGCCTGGACAACCTTTAAAAGGCTGAGCCACAGAGATAGAAGGTCTGTCACTCAAGTTGGGGAAATCACCTGAGAAGCTCAAGTCCACTGCCTCACAGCTCAAACATGTCAGCCTTACCCACGAAGAATTGTGCTGATAAACAGACTCAGAGCCTGTGCTCGTGGGGTTGCCCATCTGCAAGTGTCTCACCTGGCCCTGCTGCAGGGCCCGGCAGGGATTGGGGAGGGTCAGTGCTCCCTGGGGCGGGGACTGGGTCTGCTTCCAGGCCCAGCGCCTCTGAGTCATACAGATGCTAGGTGGTCCTGCTGCTTACCCTCGCTAAACCTCAGGCTTCTCGTGTAAACAGGGCGCTTTTGAGGAATTATTAACATCTCCCTGTGAGTCAAGGCACCTACTGAGATCATGTATGTAATGCTTGTAATAAATGCAGCTATGTGCCAGGCACTCTGAGACGCTGCCGTTGTGGTTATTTTTTTTAGTTCAGCTGTATGCATGCCGGAACACGTTCCTATTGGCTGTGAGTCTGCCATGGAAAGTGGCTTCTAGTGTGTTTATTTACCTGGCACCTGCCCCTTTTTCCTGGTCCTTGCAATAACCCAGATTTGAGCCAGGGTACAGACCTAGAACCCCCTGGATGAAAGGGAGGCCTGGTGCCCTCGAGGAAGGACCCTGGTTATACTGCCACACATTTATCCTGTGAATTTTTCTCATAGCCTTTGTTGAAGGCAGCTATGGCCATTTACCAGGGAGACAGTACACCGAGAGGAAGGAGAAAGATCAGACTTTTTGGGGATTGCCAGACCCTGGCTCTGAACTGACACCGATTCCCGGAGACTTGGATGTCACTGTGGTCTGGTGGTCAGAGTGGGTGATTATGGAGTGGGGGGACTCATGGAGTTATTGCTCAGGTCCATCTCAAAGCAGGCACCGCGGGTCTCTCAGCCCATCCTGTGACTGCTGGCCAAGTTCTGAAATGCATCATTGGAACAGACACTCAGCAACGGGCAGAACCTGTAAGCCAGCAGTAGACACCAGCCCAGCCAAGGCAGAGGGTGGACCTTCACCCCGCAGGCTGGGCTTCTTGTGGCACTGTGTCCTCTAGGCCAGAGGTGGCTCTGGACACAGACACGAGTCCCAAATTGGTCACTTGGAGCTCTCCCTATTCTTTCCTAACAGGAACTGGATGGAGGAGCTGTCTGCCCCTGAGGCAGGCTGCTGGAGGGGATGAAGCCAGCATTCTGGCATCTTGCAAGGCCTAAGAGGGCTTAAGTCCTGGGTGAAATCACCTCTGTGGCCCGATCTGCTCCTGTCCCTTATACTGGGTGATAATATAAGCTCATCAGTTTTAAATAAGCCAGGTGAGCTTGGATGCAATGACAGACTCTAGTGGCCTGATTCACAGTGGGGAAATCTGTTCTCCCCTCTGAATCTCTCTTCACCTTTATTCACACTGCCCTGTGTCTATGGAAACGAACCTGTGTGGCTTCCATGTAGGCTTGGTCAATGCAGAGCTCTGGCAAGAAGTGAGGAGGTTGGGGGAAAGAGGGAGGGAGGATTTATCCCCTTTCCCCCATGGCAACTCTGCGGTCTGGATGTTTTCTAAAGCAAGGGTCTCAGCCTCTGCCAGGAGGCCCTCTCTGCACTATCTGATTTCCAGGTTCTGAACCACCCTTTCCTTCCTGGCCTAAGGAGGTGAGTCCTGGGTACTGCACTATCCTTTACAGTTTCCTTATGTTCTACTGAGCTTTTGAAAATAGTCCCTTCATTAAAGCATCCACAAATCACCCAGCAGGACTTTCCCATGTGTCTCCTGGTGGACCCTGCCTGCTCCACACACTGCACCCAGACAGCCTGGACTAAATGGACAAAATGTCATCACGATCATCACAAGGGCCGATTATCAGGAGGGTGACGTACAAGTCTTGGTCCAGGCAGAGATCTTAGGAAAGATACTGTAAGTGACCTAGGAAAGGAAAGTATGTGCTTAACTTCGGAGTAAGCATTGCTCTATTGCACGCACTGTGCTGGGCACCTTCTGATGCCAGGTTTCCTACTGGGACAATCCCTCCGCCCTCAGGAACTGGTCTCCTCAACAAGTGAGGATGGCCCTACTATGAGGGAAGAAATCTAGAGATCAGCCCATACCCCATTTTTTTATGGTTCATTCAACATTGACTCATCCTCTGCTGGAAGCAGATCTAGAGCCAAGATTTTTTTTTTCAATTTAACTTTTATTGAAGCATGACATACACTCTGGAAACATGCATCAGTTTAAAGTGTGCAGCTCGATGAACTTTCTCGAACTCACAACCTCGGCGTCACCCGCACATATACTGTTGTGTAAGTACCGCGTGCTAACCGATTGCGTCACTGGAGCACGCTCAGCTTGATGAACTTTCAAGACTGCAAGTTCATCAAGTTCCACAGCACTGAAAGTTCCATGGTACTGAAACCCCAAGTCCAGAAATACAACATGGTGGGCACCCCAGCGGCTACCCCCTTTTCCTCCCAGACACTGCCCCTTCCATGGTAACTACTCTCCTACCTTCTAATCTGTTTTTGAATTTTCAGTCAATGGAATCCTAATTGTGCACTCTGGTATTCTGGCTTCTTTTGCTTCATGTATTTGCAAGTTTCACTGTGGTGCATTCCATTCTGTGACCGCGCCAGCTCACTCTTGATGGGCCCTCGTTTCTCCAGATTTTGACTATTAACGACAGTGCAGCTATGAGTGTTCTGGAACATGCCTTTTGGGTTACAAGAGCAGTGGGATTGCTGCATTCCTGGAAGGGTCTAAGGACTAACATATGTATCCCTAGTCATTTCCCAGAGCCCTGCTCATGTTTGTGTAGGATCCCATTCCCACCGTCAGCCTCTGGTTTTCCTAACAGTGTCACTACCTCCCCAAAGCCTGGCGGATACAGTTATTGGTACTAGAAGTGGTCCCAGGTGGATAAAATCCCAGGGACAAGATCCAGGAATTCATTTTTTTGATCTAGCTGGATTTAAAGTCAGCAGCCAACCTGTTGTCTAGCACCTAATCCCGTGGGTGGCTGAGTTATAGCACACGCTGAATTCAGAGCTCTGGGTTCTCTGTTAAAATTAGGGCTGTTACCAAATGCAGGCTCAGTTCCTGTGACTGCATGATTCTTCAGTTTGGAATGAAACTTCAGGCACTGTTAGTTAACTGTCAGACGCCAAATTGCAGCAGAAAGAATCAGATAGGTAACCTTGCTTTGGGTTTGTACATCTGTGGCTACAATCATGGTGCCTGTTTGAGGGTGGCCATCGTGGCCTACAGCAGGGAACCTTTCTGCCCAGGAAAAAAGTTATGGGTTTGCCAAGATTATACATGGGGCATGGGTGAGTGTGGTAGACTGTCCTTCCCATCCCAGTTTTAAGGGCTCCCCCCACCGCCATTTCCCTCCATCAGGTTTTCTGCGTCCTTATTCCTCACTTGGCACCTAGTTTCTGTCCCTTCCCCCTCAGCCAAGTCTTGCTGTTTTATGATGTGGTCTATCATCCAACTCTCCGGGATGTGGCTGTGTCTCCTTCAAAACAGCAGCTCTCATGCATTCTCTGTGCTCAAGACAAAGAGGCTGAGGATTGAGAATGGAGGGGTGGGTAAGGAAGAGGACCCGTGGTTCCCCAACATGCTGAGGCTCATCTACAAAATGGGAACAACGCTTCTATGGTCCAGGTGGCACCTCTATTAAGTTGAGATTCACCCAGTGGGCACAGCGATTGGGGAGCAATGACACCTTCCTGGACGACAGTCATTCCTTCACACACTGGCACAGCTTCGGGTCACAGAAGCACAGGTTGGGGAGGGCTGGCTCTATTTCCACCTCTGCGTCACCTTAGCTGAGCTTCCCTGCACACTGTACAATTGGCACAACACACGGCAGTCTTTGTTTTGTAAGCCAGATAAATTAAACATTATGCCAAGGGCCAATTGCAGATCCTGGTACTAACGGAAAGTTATATCCCATGTAGGCTGGAGTATTACCTTGAGGGAAGGCAGATGAACCCCTATGGGTGTGGTCAGTCCATGCCTAGCCCCTTTACACAAAATCCTATTTATTGAGTATCTAAGGTGGGCTCAATTTTGAGGCTTCTTAAAGATCTCCCTCATTCAGGAAAGTTATCAAGAGCCTATTACATGCCAGGCACTGTATGCTAGGGACTTGGGGTGTGAATATTAGACACACAAGTGCCTTTGAGGAACTTCTAGAGCATCATGGGGTGAGAAAAAACATAATTATGCCATATGTTTGAAGCAGTGTCATGGAACAGAGAAAAACAGTAAGGGATTTGGAACCCTGCAGGAAGCAGGTGGCTTTACACAGTTGGCAGTCAGGACCATTCTCCACTGGAAAGGTGAGCTTGAGCAGATGGCAACATGAAGAACATTCCAGCTGCTGAAGGGCAAGAGCCAAAGCATATCCAAGGCTCAAGGCCCAAGAGGCCCCTGTGGCTGATCCCTGCTGTGTTCTTCAGGTGTGTCACCTCTACTCCCTAGGCCTCCTGACCCCCAGCAGCTGATCCTCTGATGCTTTCACTCCTCTGGCTGTCCTCATCCTCCCGGACTTTGCCTTCGGTCAGCTCTGAGCCCAGTTCAGCCAGAGGTCTACGGCAGAATCAGGGGGCAGGTTGGACATGTGTAGAATGGCACATGGAGGTGGGGGGGCACGAGGAGGGAACAAACTTCTGCCTGCTGGCCCTCCCTGCTTTTTCAGGGCCCCAGGGTCTGTGAGGTCAGGAGTTAGAATGCAGGCCCCACGCAGTGATCTCATTTGATTTCTCTCCTGCAGGGTTATTGCTAACCACGGGGAGACAACAAGGTCCGGGGCTTTGGTGCAGACTTGGCATGCCGGCCCTGTGGGGTCGGGAAAGTGTGGTGAGGATGGCAAATGTGCAGTCCATGTGTCCCGTCCACTCCTCTTAGCCACCCCCATGTCCACGGCAGGCTGGCCTGATCCACTGTCACATGCTGTAGTGCCTGGTGCAGATGCCAACTTACACTGACTAATAGGGATGATGTGGAGAAGGGCCGGAGCGTAGGGTGGTGATTGCCGTTGACATGTACAACCTTGGAGTGGAATGAGAATTCCCACCCCCAGCTGTCCCGTGATCTAACTCCCTAGTGTCATGGGATGTTTGGCTTAACATGGTTCTGCTGATGTGACCAGACGCAGTAGCTCTTAAGCTCTTACCATTCCCCCTCCGAAGCATCACCCACCTACTACTCACCCTGAAGGGGAAACGGCTCTGATTATTTCTTGGGGAACCCCACTGTCTTCACTCTTGGCCCAAACTGCATAGAGGGTACTGAAGGCTTTGGCCCTAGGATCAGAACTTGGGATTCTCTGCAATTCTTTTCTGGCTCCTCCAGCCAGAGTCCTCAGCCCCTGGGGCCTGAATTTGAGGTAGAGAAAAGGAAGGGAGGG